CGGGCTCTCTTTCTTCCAGATTCCGAATCAGAAGACTGAAAGAATTGATCTAGCAAGGCAGGACCCTCTCTCCTCCTTAGGAGGCCAGAAGAGAGGAGCAGAGCTGATATAAACAATTACACCTTAATATATATTTTCCCTTTTCATAGCTGATTCCCTTTCACAGCCAACTAAATGTTTACTAATGTTGTGTCTTGATGAGTGTGACATATATTAATGATGTAAATCTGGCAGTAACAAAACACCGAGTTGCGAGGTGAGAGTAACGCTGGCTGTGATGGTTAAGGTTATGTGTCACCTCGGCTGGGCCGTGATTCTCATTGGTTTGGCAGTTATGCAATGATGTAATTTGGTAGTTATGTAATGACACAGCCATCCTCCGTTTTTGTGATCTGATGTAGTCATCCCCCATTTTCGTACGATGCCGATTTTCACATAACGACCTGATCTTTAGAACCTAACCATGTCGATGAGTGAGGCATGGGTATAGGGTCGCTATGAGTCGGAATCCACTCAACGGCAATGGGTTTGGTTTTTGGTGTTTTGAGTGTAGTTTGTTTTCAGTACAAGTGGTTTGTTTTGAAAACCGTGATAGGGCTGGGACTTTATAATCACATACGTACCCAAAAGTCATATAGAACATAACTCATTCACACTAACAAAATCTGTGAGTAACCTCCAAAACTGGGATGTATTTTCCACTAAATAACTCTGTAACTCTTTAATATCTTCTATTCCTTTGAAATCAGACAAGTTTATCATTGAAAACAGAAGAGTTTCAGGTACGATCTTCTCAATCTGCATGTCAAATTTGAGTCTGAATACAAAACCATTAATTTTCTCACTTTTGTAGTGGACCTGGAAGGTTCAGGGAAATGTGTGCAGCCTTTGGGGACCACTGGAGGTCCAGCAAGTGGGATCTAAGACTTTTTTAATCCCCAAAATACTTTAATACAGTTCTTCAGGAATTTCCAGAACCTAGCCATTTGGCTAAATTAAAACAAACTAAACCTCCCTTCTTTGCTTCAGCTTAAAATAAACACACACACACACACACACTCACTGGCAATGGTTAAAAAACATAAGCATAAAGAAAATTTGTAATCTTTATTACTTTCTCCATTACATCATGCAATAAAACTGGCTTCCAAAAGTCCCAACACAAACTCTCTTGATAAATGAGGCAATGGAAACTGGGCATACCAGCATCCTATTAACTGTTCACACCCTGCCCCCTGCCCCAAAAGTGCCCCATGTTTTCCAAGAGAAAATGTTTTTATTAAACTTCTTAGATTCTTTAAGGTAATTGGTTAGGATTTGTTAATCCATTTGAACTAGGTTAGGAGAATGTACAGGTTCTAATACTTAGGTGGGGGCCGCACACTCTGGGCTCAGGTAAAGCTTCACGTTGGAAACCCCTGGTGTAAAATTTCCCTGCTTGGCAGGGGAGGTGCCGTTGTTGTTGGGTTTCTTTGACAACAATCTTCTGTTCTCCATACAGAGAAGTGACTTATTTGTAACTAGTGCATAAACTCCCACCCTTATTCAGTGTAGCAATAAATTAGGATTATAGGCATGTGCAATTAGCAAAATGTTCAGAAATATCGTAAAAGAAAGCACTGCTTGAAATATAACCTTCATTCAACAGTATTTCTTTAAAGGTACAATGGTAAGTAGGTTTCAAAACACAAATCCCTTCATGAACAACGTAAAGCATGCTTTTATTTAGAAAAAAAAATCCACTTATTTTTCTTTGTCTTTGATCTTTTCAGTCTGTTTTGTAGTGGTGCTGATGCGTGAAGATGCGGAGGGAGGATTGGATGCCTTTTTGAGGGCCAACTTCTGCATAACCTTTTTGGACTCCACACCATGTCAAAAACTTGTGCTAAGGCACTGGGGACAATGAGTCAGAGAGGTTCAACAGATGAATAAATAAGTTGCTCACAATCTAATGGAAGATGGAGGCATGTGAATAACCTCCTTGACGTATGCAAATTGCATTATTTATGCCACATAAAGGCAATAGTGTTGTAGGTATGTAAAAGGGATTAGATGTGATTGGACTCCCAGCTGAAAGGAGGTTTCACAGACTCGTGAGTGCGTCATTGCAAACCTTCCTTACTACTTTTTAAATGTAGGCAAGTGAAGGGAGAGGCCATAAGCATAAAGAAGTTGCTTCTAAGGCAGAGTCATTCCTTTGATGCGGGCAACCTCAATCGCTCGACAGAGATGGCTAGAATTAATCAAATTCACACAGCAAGTCCTGACATTTGATGCTGTAATTAGTGGTGATTATGGGTAAGCTTTAAAAATCTGCTTCGTCAGCAGATGATCCAATGAGATGATACCATAAAGAGCATGTTCCCACCCCACCCCGGACAAAGGAGGAGCTCAAAACATGGAACTAACTTTAGTGCATAATAATTGTTTGCAATGTGGTTGGCAAAACTGTTTTGTTATGGTGCTTATAGGATTGCTTTAGGGAGATAATTGCAGGTCATGTTTTTCTTGGCCCTATAGGAAGGCTTCAGCTAACTCTTTTTGTGACACAAAAAGCAATCGGTTGGTTGATAGATAGTTATTGAGAGCTATCACTGAGTCAGCTCCGACTCATGTTGACCTTACATATAACAGAATGAAACATTGCCCTGTCCTGCGCCTTCCCCCTAATCTTTCTCATTTTCATGCCCGTTGTTGCAGCCACCATGTCAATCCATCTACACAGGATTTCCCTTGTTTCTGCTGACTTTCCACTTTACCAATCATGTTGTCCTTCGATAGATACATATACACATTTATCCATACATACAGAGATTTTTGGCAGATTATTTTTCAGTGTTTTTACACTAGCCTAACCGTGGTGGTGCAATGGTTAAGCACTCAGCTGCTAACTGAAAGGTTGGGGTTCGAACACGCAGGAGAAAGACCTGGTGGTCTGCTCTGGAAAAGATTGCAGCCAAGAAAACCCTATCGGGCAGTTCTACTCTGCCACATGGGGTCGCTATGAGTCAAAATGCTATGACTCGACAGCACGCAACACCAACAAAATGCTCACAAATAATTTCTTTTTTCTAAAGGAAAGTTGGTAAGAGTAATAATTTAGCTGTGACCTATATCACTAGCAGAGTCCCAGCGTGATGCAAACAGTTAATGCATGCAGCTGCTAACCAAAAGGTTGGAAGTTCAAGTCTACCCAGAAGTGCCTCTCAAGAAAGACCTGGTGATCTACTTCCAAATAATCATCCACTGAAAACCTACAGAGATGTCATGGGGTCACTGTGAGTTGGAGTTGGCTTGCTGGCAACTTTTTTTTTTTTTTTTTTTTTTAATATATCACTAGAAACAAATGAAATGTAATGGTGGAGATGGAGGGGAAGGTGCAGGGGTAATGTGTGGAATGAAACAGTAGAACAAAATTGGGTTGGTAATTTTCTGTTTTGTTTTTATTTTGTTTTTAATTACAGACATGGAAATGCTGAACTCTCATAGTGCTGAGGAAACAAAATAAATTGAAAGAATAATACTCCTCACCAGATGTTCCGTATGAATATTAAATGTTATATGAATGTGTGCACAATTCTAGGATGTTTAAATATCTCAAAGCAACAGCTATTGGGGGAATATAATTCACTCATCTTCTGATATGTATGTGTAGCCTATGCTAAATTCATTGGGATTTTTCCAACTGTATATAATTTGGAAGCCCTAAAATTAAGTGATAACCATTTATTTTGGATTTTCTGCAATGATACTGATTTCTTCCAATTTTTTTACTTTTAAGACAGTTAATTCATTAAATACATAACTAAATAGTTAAAAATATTTTGGTTTGTAGGATTAGTCATGTATTTATGTTCACAAATCAGAAAAGAACGATCTAGAATAGACTTTTTAAAAGGAGTAAGCCAAAGGCTCCAGTTTTCTTCTCGCTTTTACACTCATTTCCTTGATGTTTGAACTCATCATCTCATGGCTCTGAATACTGTCTGTGTGCTTTTCTCCCCATTGCTGTTACAGAGTAGAACAGCTCCATAGGGTTTTCTTGGCCGTACTTTTTATGTAAGCAGATCACCAGGTCTTTCTTCTGTGGTACCACTGGGTGGGTTCAAACCACCAACCTTTAGGTTAATAGTTGAACTCAAACTGCTCCCCCCTACCCAGGGATCCTGTCTATGTGCTAAAGACTCCCAAATTAGTATTTCCAACTCCAGACTTTCCTCTGAACTCTGAACTTGTATATCCAACAGTTTAATGAACATCTTCACTTGAATGTCTGATAACCAAAACTGAATGTTGCCATCAAGTCGATTCCAACTCATTGCAATGTCTGTAGGACAGAGAAGAACTGCCCCATAGGGCTTCCAAGGCTGTAATCTTTATGGAAGCAGACTGCCACATCTTTCTCCGACGGAGTGGCTGTTGGGTTTGAACCACCAACCTTTCAGTTAGCAGATGCGTGCTTAACCAGGGATGGATTACCCAGTAAGCAAGGTAAGCACATGCTCAGGGCATCAACAGAACAAGGTTACCAGTTGTCCAAAATAAAGACTGATAGATACCAAGCAGACAGCACACAAGAAAAAGTGAGTGCTGCAGTATAAGGGAACTGGCAGGGCACTAAATAAAATTAATACCAATTCAAGAGTGTAAGAACGTGCAGACCAGAAATTAAGTTTACACAGGGTCATGAGGGCGCCCGTGCGCAAGGTTGTTTAAGTTATGAGGCCCCTACCACTTCAACACCTTTGTTAACATCTGTCTCCTATGGTCTCCTCCCATGTAATTGAAACTCCTTATCTTGGTTGGTGTCTTAGGCTGGGTTCTTTAGAGAAGCAAAACCAGTAAAGCATATACATATATACAGAGAAAGGGATTTATATTAAGGAAATGGCTCACACAGTTGTAGAGGCTGGAAAGTCCCAAGTCCGTGGGTCAGGCTTCTCCTGATGCACATAGCCACAGGGGCTGGCGAACCGAAGATTGGCAGGTCGGAGAGTAAGGCTCTTGTTCACAGGCTGTGAAGATTGATGAACCCAAAGATCTGCAGGCAAGACCACAGGTAAGCTGCTAGCTCAAGTCCCAAGAACTGGAAATTAGATGAAAAGGAGCCAGCTGCAGGATCTAGAACGTGTGAAAGTCCACAAGCCTTGCCAGAATATCCACTTATATTCAATGCAGGCCGTACGCCCAAGGAAACTCCCTATCAATTGATTGGCTACTCACAGTAGATCCCATCATGGAGGTGATCACACAATATCAAATATCATCATGGAAGTGATCACACCATTACACAACTATCAAATCACTGAGGATCATGGCCCAGCCGAGTTCATGCACAACCTTAACCATTACAGTGGATCTCTTGGGACTATACTATTTCTTTCTAATAAATAAGTGGTGGGGTGGTCTGTCGAGTCTAACTCTTGCTACATTCACCCAATATGCAACTGGATCCAACATGAGCCATTACTGGGCAAGGGCAGATTATATTAATAGATAACAGGTCTCTGATCCATTTTGAGAGAACCATTTTGTACATCCATGTCTGCTGATCCAGCGACTCCAGCCAGGAGAACCAGCCGTGCTCTTGCTGCAATACAAACACAAGGATATGATCTTGCCAAGTCCTGGTAAACAATCAATGGAAATTCCAGTGTCAGATGATGTGCAAAAGTGAGGGAACTTGAATAAATCAGCCATTGCAATGAATTCAATCAAGTTACTTTTTAACTGTGTAACATTTATGTACAGAGTTATGTCCTAAGTTTTGTAAACAAAATTTATAACTTTAAAATATGTTTGGAATACATGTGGATGCAATCTAGCATAATTTAATATAATGCTAACATGGGTAATAATTTAACATAATACTAACATAGCAAACATTGGAAATATTAATATCTAACACAAAAAGTTTTAATTTATGGATCAAGTGAGTTTCATTTTTTGTTGTCGCGAGGGACACAGTGTTTGATATTACTGTATATATGCTAATAAACGAGGTGTTAGGCACATTAAGAAGATGCAAAATTTAATATTTATTTATTGTGCAAAGTGTTTCTGTTTTGCAACAATGAGTGTGTTTCTAAATTCGTCTTCCAAGAAAGCAACAAAGGGCATTTATCGGAACGTTACATTTATATTTTATCAGAATATTTACGTATCTCTATGTAAGGAAATCGAACGGTTCCTCAAAGAAATAAATGAATACTTAGATAATAAAAATTATATACATTTATTTTATTTTCCATTTCCCTTCAGACTTACTTGTAAGAAATTGATTGGTATTGCTATGGTAAGAGAAACAAACTTGCTCCTCGAGAAGTGGTGCTATTGTTACATCAATTATGTACGTATCTCCGTATCTCCGAATATGGGAGTTGAACAATTCTGCAAAGAAGTAAAATGTACATTTCATAAATTTTGTATAGGATAACAATTGTGTTTTCCTTTTCATTTCTGATCGATCAGGTATAATGTCACATTCAGTTCTCTCATCAACCACATAAGAACGCGCCAGTGGCACTGTAAGCACATAACTTGTGATGCATCTGGTCCTGTCCTGCGCAAAGCGAACCAAAATGCATCTTCAAATTGAGCATACCCTTGTATTTATATCATATTCTTTGCGATCACTCTCGCCTCTGTTGAGTATCGGCAGTAGTCCACTGAACTGTGAAGACGTAGCATCAAAGGACAGAAAGTGAGTGCATGAGTTTTTAAGTATTATTTCAGGACAAAAAAACACTCATGGAGATCTGCAAAAGGCCTGCCAACAAACGTTATATGACAAACAAATGAAATTATTTCCAACTACCTTGTAAATTTTATTTCTTTTTACTATCTCAGGTTTGAAGAACAAAATTACATGTTCCAAATAAGTTTTTTACTTACTGATTTTCAAATATAAATTTTCATGTTAATGTCCAAATTTGAATATAAATTTTATTTTATAAATTTTATTTATTTTCAGTTATTCAAATTTATTTGCTATGGTAGAACCAAATTTAAAAAGTGTCATAATTTTATATCCAGGTAAAGTGAAATGGCAATAACTAAGTAGAGCATAAAAACAAAAGCTTACAGAAGATAAAAAGAAAAGGATTTGTGAGTCCCTAAAGACAATTCCAAAATTAACTTCCTTTTTAAAACATAATCAGAAAAGACTTTTTCCATTGAATATCAAGTTTAATGAGTGCAATTGTTTTATTAGTACTGTTAGTGCTGAAATTAGGCCTCTTTAAAGTGTTAAAAGCAAAGATGCCACCTTGACGGCTAAGGTGCGCCTGACCCAAGCCATAGTGTTTTCAATCGCTTCATATGCATGTGAAAGCTGAACGATGAATAAGGAAGACCAAAGAAGAACTGATGCCTGTGAATGATGGTGTTGGTGAAAAATATTGAATAGACCATGGACTGCCAAAAGAATGAACAGATCTGTCTTGGAAAAAGTACAACCAGAATGCTCCTTAGAAGCAAAGATGTCTTACATACTTGGGACATGTTATCAGGAGATATCAATCCCTGGAGAAGGACATCATGCTTGGTAAAGTAGAGGATCAGCAAAGAAAACAAAGACCCTCAACGAGATGGATTGACACAGTGGCTGCAACAGTGAGCTCAAGCACAACAATGATTGTGAGGATGGCATAGGACTGGGCAGTGTTTCCTTCTGTTGTACCTGGGGTCGCTATTAGTCGGAACTGACTCGACGGCACCTAACGACAACAGCAACAAGTGCTGAAATTACTAATAGCAACACAACTGTAACAGAATTTGTTCTGAATTCTGCATCCATTTCTTGGTGGAGTAAAAAAAAAATAATAATGGTGTAGAAAGTGAAACTATTGTAGAATCTGAAGTTGTCACATCTGCAGACCCCATAAATAACATAAATAACCCCATAAATACAGATCCTGCTTTGTGGGATAATTTTTTTTCTAATGATGTAAATTTTGGATTGGAAGACGGCCAAGTGATTGTCAGCATCACAGTGGACCATTTGAAAAACTGTCAAAAATTTCTGGACGGTAAACAAACTAGTTTCTGTGGCCAGAATATATTTCTAGGGGGTGAAGCTAAGTAAATTATAAGAGGGAGTGGCTACTGTATTCATCATCAGTTGGTTCTGTATATTGTTTTGTTTGCAAACTATTCAGTCATAAATCATTTAATTCTCGATTTGCTATGGATGGATTTAGCAATTGGCATAAGTCGAATATGATTGATAAACATAAAAACAGTTCAATTCACAGAGATTGTATGTTGTCATATATAAACCAAAGACATGGTTTTGGTTTAACTCATGAACTGAAAACACAAATTAATAAAGAATCAGTATGAGAAAGCCGTTTTGCAATGCGTTGTTGCTATTATTATAATTGCTGAACATGGACTGTCTTTTTGAGAAAGAAGTGAAGTGTTTGGGTCTCCACAAAATGGAAATATTTTTAGTTTACTTATTGCTCAGTTTGATCCATTTTTAGCAAGTCACATTTCAAAATATGTTAACACAGGAAAGGGCAACCCATCATATATGTCTAAAACAACGTGTGAAGAATTAATAATCTTAGTAAGTGATAAAGTTCAGTGAACTATTTTCAATGAAATAAGTATAGCTTGATATTTCAGTTTGTCTGTAGATTCCAATCTTGATCTTTCTCATACAGGTCAGCTAAGTATTGTTTTAAGATATGTATCTCCAACAGATGGAAAAACCTGTCGAGGGATTTATCACATTTTCTAGCTTAAAAAGTCACATCAGTGAAGAAATTGCAGATCAAGTACTTTACTATTTATGTGAAGTTTGCAAAATTGATTCTTCTAAGGGCAGAGGCCAGTCCTATGATAATGCTGCCAATATGTCGGTGCGTTATGAAGGCATGCAACAGAATATTTTAGAATGTGATGAACATGCCATTTTCAGGCTGTGCATTCACTTAATCTTGTAGAACGTAGTGCAGCAGATTGTTCAGAAGCAATTGATTTTTTTTGCTACTGTTCATTTACACATTTTTTGCTGCCTCTACTCACTGACGGGCAGTTCTTAAAACATATTTAGGCAATAACTGAATATTAAAATGTCTTTCTAATACACATTGGGAAGCGCATGCTGTAGCAAAGAGTGCAATCCTGGAATCGTACACTCAGATTCTAGATGCCTTAGATAACATTGCTGAACGCCAGACACGAAAAGGAGCTACCAAAAGAGAAGCTTAAAAAAATCACCAACAAAATGCAAACATTAGTGTATGTATTTATGTTGGTTATGTGGAATAATATATTGCAGCATTTTCATCAGATGAGTCAAGCTCTCCGAGATTCAGAAGTAAATTTAAAGACATGCCCAGATCTCTACCAGTCATTAACAGAATATTCACGTACTTTAAGCGAAAATTTTGAAAATTTTTAAACACAACACAACAAAACCTGCCAAATACTGATTATCAAGCAGTTCACCATCACAGAAGCATTAGAAAGAAACAAGTAAATGATGGAAGTACTCCAGAAGTTCTGAGTGCCAGAGATCAGTTTTGCATAACCACAAACTACACCGTTATTGACACACTTGAATCTTGCATGAAAAGAAGGGCGAAGGTGTATGAAATTCTTTCAAACAGATTTTCCTTCTTAAAAAAATGTGGATATACCCGATGAAGAATGCATGAAGGCCTTCAAGAAATTAGTGCAGGTTTATCCAGAAAGACTTAAATACAAACTTTTACAAAGAAGTATGACAATTTCACACTTACATGAGAACTAAGTTTACAGATTTAGGAAAGACAGATTTTCCTCATGTAGGCATGTATGAGTCCATATTAAAAGATAAAATACACTGCATATTTCCTAATGTTGAAGTTGCTTTACACATATTCCTAACTTTAATGATCGCAGACTGCACAACAGAAGACTCATTTTTGTCTCTAAAGAGACTCAAAAACCCTCAGCATACAACAATTCAAGAAAGACTTGATTCATTATGCTTATTATGTATGGAAGTAGATACTGTTTGGCAGCTTAATTGTGACAAAATCATTGAAGAATTTCTAAGAACAAAGAATAGAAAGAAATGTTTTTAATTATAACATGTTAGAGATGAAAGGTCTATCTAAAAACAAAATACAGTAATTTGTTGTAATATTTGTTTTCTGACCATTATATTTTCTTTTATACCATCTTTTCGTTTCTTCACTTACAGCATTTATTATAAAACAAGCATCAAAATTGAAGTATGAGCCATTTAAAGAAAAATTGGTGGGAGATCAACAGAATTCTACATTGATTGTTGAAACAACTAAGTTCACAGACTCCTTTTCTTTGCTTTAGAATATGTGGAATATTCTTTTTGTAGCAAATCCGGTATGTAGCAAAAATCTTAATAGCCAACATCCACTAAAAATTTTATAATCCAGTTCACCTCATTCCACTAAAATGTCGTATGCCATTTTTGTGTTCAGTTGCTAATATTATTAAACAAAACAAAACAAAACCAATCCCATTGCCATTTAATTGATTCTGACTCATAGCAACCCTATAGGACAGAGTAGACCTGCCCCATAGGGTTTCTGAGGAGCAGCTGGTGGATTCAAACTGCCGACATTTTGGTTAGCAGCCAAGCTGTTAACCACTGAGCCACTAGAGCTCCTGCTAATATTATAGTCGCATTTAAAAAGAAGTTACATCACGGATAGATAAGACACACACACAAACATATATATAAAAACCAAACCCGTTGCCATCAAGTTGATTCCAACTCATCGCGACTGATAGGATAGAGTAGAACTGCCCCATAAGGTTTCCAAGGAGCAGCTGGTGGATTCCAACTTCCGGCCTTTTGATTAGCAGCCAAGCTCTTAACCATTGAGACACCAGGCCTCCAAACACATATATATATATACACATATATATCTCACATGTATATATATAATTCTCACATAAGTATATGTAACTCACATACATATCCTGTTTGAATGTGTAAGCAGAGAAGGGACACCTCAGATCATCAGTGTTTAGGGCCCTCACATGCCTTAATCCAGCCCCAGCTTAACCACTGCGCCACCAGGGCTCCTGTGAATGGCTGATAGACATTTCATATATAACATGTCCCAAGATGAACCCTCGGTCATCCCTGCATCTCTCCACCCCCCACTAAACATGCTCCTCCTACATTCTTTGTTATCTGAGTATAACTCTTCTAGCAATGTTGTTGTTGTTAGGTGCTGTTGAGTTGGTTCCGACTCATAGTGACCCTATGTACAACGGAACAAAACACTGCCCAGTCTTGCACCATCCTCACAATTGTTGTTATGCTTGAGCCCATGGTTGCAGCCACTGTGTCAATCCATCTCGTTGAAGGTCTCCCTCTTTTTCACTGATCCTCTACTTTACCAAGCATGATGTCCTTCTCCAGGGACTGGTTATTTCTGATAACAGTCCAAAGTAGACATGTTATTTGCTTGCTTCTAATGAGCATTCTGACTGTACTTCCAAGATAGATTTGTTCATTCTTCTGGCAGTCCATAGTCAGTATTCTTTGCCAACACCATAATTCAAAGGCAACAATTCTGCTTGGGTCTTCCTTATTCATTGTCCAGCTGTCACAGCATATGAGGCAATGGAAAACACCCTGGCGTGGGTCAGGTGCACCTTAGTCCTTAAAGTGACACCTTTGCTTTTTAACACTTCAAAGATGTCTTCTGCAACTGATTTGCCCAATGCAATATTTCATTTGATTTCTTGACTACTGTTTCCATGGGTGTTGATTGTGGATCCAAGTAAAATGAAATCCTTGACAACTTCAATCTTTTCTCCATTTATGATGA